GGGGTGGGGGCGGGCGTCCCACGGACAGAGACACCTCTCTCATTCGGCTTTGGCTTTGGATCCAGAGACTGCGGCTGCTGCAGAAGCAAGGGCTCCAGTCCCTGGGATCTTAGATCGGATCCTGTGGGAGAAATGGGGAGGTCAGGTGGTGGGGCAAGACACGGGGTGGGCATCTGAGAACTGTGGGGACTGCTGGAAGGCGACTTGGTTCAGTGCCCAAACCTAGCCTCGTCCCCCACGCCCCACTGTCCTTCACCCAATGGCTTGTGTTGAAATGGTCTCGGCCTTCTTTGAGAAAGGCCATTCAGCCCCCCAGAAGATCTGATGACAAGAAATGTAGAGAGGAGTGCCCAAGTCCCCTACCCCACATTCTTACTTAGCTTTGATGTGGCTCAACTGATTGGTCACCAGCCCCACATACTGGTCGATCTGGGCCTGGAAGACCAAGAAGGAGTAAGAGAAGGATTTGGAGGATCTCCTTAGTTCAATTAGGAGGCTATTTCCTCTCCTACTTCCAAGTCAAGAATTCGAGGGAGTGGCCCACCACCCCACCTTCAACCCTAAGCCTAATAAAAACTCTTGCACCTTAGGTTCAAATTGTAGGGTCAGGCAATTGGGCAGGGCTGAGTCCTGAGTGATGTCAGCGAAACACAAGTAACTGCCTGCAAGTCTGTGTCCTGGTCATGCGTGTGTCTGTGTGTTGTGGCTAGGGTGAGAGTGGAAGGATTGGTGTTGGTTGGTGAGTTGCTGAGTAGACTTCTTGATTTCTTTTTAGAATTACTTATTTAATTTTATTTATTTATTCATTATTATTGTTATTTTAATTTGCTATAGGGCACATGCACTAGAGAGAGAGAGAGAGAGAAAGAGAGAGAGAGAAAATGAGAATGCAAGCCACCAGGTCTGGGATTCCTACTGTGGCTAGCCATGTGAAATCCAGTGCCTTAACCAGCACGCCACCTGCTGGCTCAGAGTGGATTGATTTAAAGACTTGTATAGGATCAGCTGCTGGCATGGTAGTTGAGGCTGGATTCCACATGGCCCATTGCACAGTTTGAATCTGAGACCTGACAGCCTGAAAAATACTGGACATGTGTGTGTGCATGCCCAAAATCCCATAAGGAAAATGGAGAATGGATCGCAGTGTGACCATCCACCATGGAGGGTGCTTTCTCACTTTTCCTCTCTCTGTCTCTCTCCAGTGAGTGCACGGGCCTTCTAGGAAATGAAAATGAATAATAATAATATTGGTTTCCTTTACAGTGTTAGTGACTTTCTGAGTCTCCATGGGCCCACTGTGAGGGAGTTAGGACTGTCTTTCTGGCAGGCTGTGTGTCACCTGGCACTCGGCTATGTTGGAGAAGGGGGCATGAGTATCTGCCTGTCTGGATAGTATGGATGTGGGTCAGTCCTGGTTATGTCAACAGCCATCCCATGATTTTGACGGACATCTCAGTCAGCCCTTAGCTGCTTCAGAAAGTGAGGGCAGGGGCCGGCAGGTGGTGCAGTGGTTAAGGTGCTCGATTCCCACATGGTCGACAGCGGTTCGAGCCCTAGACCCGGTGGCTTGAAAATCACACCAGGCACTGTGTGTGCATGTGCGCCCAAAATCCTGAGAGAATGGGGAAGAAGGGACTGCAGCATGACCATCCCACCCTTGGGGGGGGTGTGTGTGATTTCTCATGTTCTCTCTCTCTCTCTCTCCAGTGAGTACACGCATCCTATGGCAAAAAACTAAAATCAACAACAGCAACAGAGAGTGAGGGGACCAGCTGTCTGCTGTCTTTGGTTGAGAGGAGTGTCAGCCAGACCCAGGCTGTGTAGGGACAGGCGCCATTCTGTGTCGGCCTGAGTCTGGCTGGAGTGCGGTTTAGCCTTGAGGTGTGTCAGAGAGAAGCCATTCTCAAGCTGCTTCTCTAGCGAGGATATGCCAGTTGACCCTTGGATCCGTCACCAGGAAGGGGCACCGTCAGTCAGCCTGCTAGGTTTAGGGCAGTTAGTCGGACCCTGGCTCCAGTCAAAGTGCCTGTCCCTGGCTGTTGAAACCTGTAGATAGAGTCTAGTTCCACTGGCTCGCCTGTGCCTGGCTGGGACATGTCACTGGGACCCTGGTTCCTGAAGGGGGACTGTCAGCCCACCCATGTGCGGCTGGGGTGCTGGCACACGGAGGCTCCACACTCACCTGGTGCTGCCGGTACAGCAGGGGGACGGTGAATAAAGCGATTACTCCTGCAGGGACAGAGGTGGGGTCAGGGCTCTCCCAGGACATTCACAGTTCCATCCAGAGTGCCGTCCCCGTCCCCCGCATGGCTTACCAACCCGTTCCTCACCCTCCCCCACAGCTGTCCCAGCTCACCCAGAATGAGAAGAGTCAAACCATTGAAGACGGCACCCACGAAGGTCAAGATGTAGAAGAGGAGGGCCAGCTGGGGGCGAGGGTCAGGGTCAGCGGAGCCTCCAGGGGCTCCCCAGGCTGTGAGTTGGCCCAGCAGTGGCCCCCAACCCCCAAGGGCACAGCGATGCATAGTGAGAACCGGGGGCAGGGTGGGGGCTTCAGGGCACCTTGAGGGAATCCACGAGGTCTTCTACCAAGAAGAAATGGCGCAGCTGCGTGGCCGCAGCGATCACGTGCGAGGCAATCTGATGGGACAGACGTTCGGTCTGCTCCCGAGTCAGGGTCAGGTCCACATCCAGGTAGGCCCTGAGGGCACAAAGAGTGGGGTGACTCGGTGCATGAGCGGGCTCACACTGAGGGGTGTGTGTGGTTGAGACAAGGGCGAGGAACAGGGGCTGGGAGAAGACAGGAGTTAGGACTGAGGGTCACATCAAAGGGAGCCCGTGTAGGGCTAGGGTCAAGGTTGGAGTCTGGAGAGCGAGGCTGTGTAGGGGTCAGAGACTAGGGCTGGTGGTCGGGGTTCGAACCGGTTTAAGGTCAGGATCAGGTTAGAGGGTCAGGATGAAAAGACCACGATGGGTCTGAGCCAGGGTGGAAGTGCTGGATTTGAGGGGTCTTGACCGGGGTCAGCGCCGGGGTGGTTAGGGTCAGGGCCAGGGGTTCTCACTGGAAGGGGTTGGCTCCATCCCCCCGGTGCACGGCCTGCAGCACTTTGCGGTAAACCCTGAGAGAGATGGTGCCGCAGAGCAGCAAGAGAGCCACGTGGGCGGCCACGGACACGATGCTAAAGTGCAGGAGGCAGAGCAGGGAGACCATGAGGCCTGTGAAGACCACTCCTGATGTCCTCGTGTCCTTCCAGTACAGCAGATCCGCCACTGTGGAGGGGGGCGGGCGTCAGGCCGGGGCTGCACCTCGCCTTTCCGTCCCATGCTGACACCTGGGCACACCTGAGCCTTACCCTGACTTCCAAATGTTTAGTGTCCTCTTTCTTCCTGTGCTTGCCTCCCATTGTCCCCCCTCCCCTGCCCACTCTGGTAACCTGCTAAAGGTAACCCTTTAGCAGGACCCCACCCCCACCACGGGACCAGCAGATGGGGGTGGGGTTACATTGCTGGACTCCCATGCAATCGATTGAGGTTTGAGTCCTGGACCCGGCAGCTTAAAACTCACGCTGGGCGCATGTGTGTGCGTGCCCAGGGCCCCAAGAAGAGAATGAAGGAGAAGGGATTGCAGCGTGGCCATCACCTTGGGGATGTCTCTTGTTTCTCTGGTGAGCCCATGCAGCCTATAGCAAAAACCTCTCCAGTGACCAGCAGTTGGTGTAATGGCTGTGTCGCTGGACTCCCATGTAGTTGACTGCGGTTCAAGTCCCGGACCCGGTGGCTTCAACTCATACCCGGCGCGTGCATGCATGCCCAAGATCTGAGAGGAAAGTGGAGGAGAAGGAGTGCAGTGTGGCCATCCCCCTGGGGGATGATTTCTCGCTCTTGTTCTCTCTGTCTCTCTCTGTCTTTCTGGCCAGTGCGTGCATGCGCCCTTTAGCAAAAACCTCTCCAAAAAAAAAAAACAAAAAAAAAAAAAAAAGACCTCCCCAGCCTCAGTCTCCTGTCCACTTACTTATGTGGACACACAGATACGTAGATGCTGCTTGTAAAAATGGGATTATATGTACACTTTTATGAATCACGGACATCTTCCTTCATTCTTCTTGATTTTGTTTTTTGTTTTTGTTTTTGAGAGGTTTTTGCTATAGGGCGCATGTGCTTGCCAGAAAGACAGAGACAGAGAAACAGAAAGCGAGAAATCACTCCCCAGGGGGCATGGCCAAGATCTTGAGCTCTTGGGCACGCACGCACACAAGCCCAGCGTGCGTTTAAGTCACCGGGTCTGAGACTCAAACCGCGGTCGACTGCATGGGAGTCCAGCGACATAGCTATTACGCCAACCTCTGATCCCACACCACTCTTTTTCTTAGTCAACTGCAATAGCTCTTAATTAATTAATTTTTTGCCAAAATGGGTGTGTACTCATCAGATAGAAACAGACAGATAAAGGGAGGAAGAAGGTACTCCCCGATGGGGCACGGTCATGCCATAGCCCTCCTCCACTTCTCCATCCTGTCGGGATTCGGGGCATGCATGTACATACACCCGGTGATATGCGGTTTTGTTCGTATTTTTTAATCTTTTTTTTTCCCCCCCATAGGGCATATAGGGCATGTACATTGCCAGACAGAGATAGAGAGAAAAGTAAGAAATCACCCTCCAGGGGAGACGGCCACGCTGCAATCCCTTCTCCTCCATTCCCCTCTAGGGATGTCGGGTATGCACACACACATTCCCAGTGTGTTTTTCAGACTGCCGGGGCTGGGACTCAAAGGCTGAGTTGGCCATGTGGATGGACACAGTGCCTTAACCACCACACCACATGCTGGCCCAAACTGTTTTTCAAGTCCCTGGGGCTGGGCCTG